GTGTGCGCGGACTCCAGGCCAGGTGAGCAGACGCTGGAGCCAAGGACCAAAGTAGGAGCTTGAGGCCGTGGAGGCAGCTTCTCAGTGCTGCTGAACGGCCAGCTCTCAGCCGGTCAGGAACTGAAGAGGAGGCACCGAGGAGGCTCAGAGTCAGCGGCTGATCACACAATGAGGGAGCAAAACTTAATTCTCTGGGACTGGCGAAAAAGGGGAAAACACACACAGACATTCACACTCTCACACACACACTCTCAGACACAGTCACGCTCACGCTCGCACTCACACAGTCTCATACAGTCACGCTCGCACACTCACACTCACGCACAGTCTCATACACAGTCACGCTCACACACACAGTCTCAGACACAGTCACGCTCACGCTCGCACACTCACACAGTCTCATACAGTCACGCTCACTCAGGCACGCTCACGCTCGCACACTCAACACACAGTCTCATACACAGTCACGCTCGCTCAAGCACACTCACGCTCGCACACTCACACTCACACACAGTCTCAGACACAGTCACGCTCACGCTCGCACACTCACAGTCTCATACAGTCACGCTCACGCTCGCACACTCAACACACAGTCTCATACACAGTCACACTCGCTCAAGCACACTCACTCTCGCACACTCACACTCACACACAGTCTCATACACAGTCATGCTCAGTCACGCTCACGCTCACACACACAGTCTCATAAACAGTCACGCTCACTCTCACACACTCACACTCACTCTCACACACTCACGCTCACTCTCTCACGCTTTCTCTCTCACTCAGGCTCACTCTCACTCTCACTCAGGCTCACTCTCATACTCTCACACTCATACTCACACACTCACACACTCATTCTCACTCATTCACACGCTCACACTCACACATTCACACATACACTCACACACTCATGCTCACACACGCATGCTCGCTCACACACACACACACACACACACACGCGTTCACACACTCTCACCACTCTCACAACTGTGGCCCTGCCATGTCCATCTTTGATATCTTTTTCTCCCTGACCTCTTCCCTGACCTCTTCCCTGACGTCTTCCTTCTATATGTTGACTCCCCCCTTTACATCTTTCCTAGTTCTCCTTACAGCTTATAGACCCAGCAGTCCTTCAAGCAGCATAAAACTTAACAATGTGGTTATGTTCTATAATAATTTAATATTCTGTAATAATCCAAGTGAGTTATTACAATGAATACAAGTGAAAAATGGCATGTTCCCTAGTACCCTTACATGATTAAATAGTTTATGTTTCAGGGGAGAAAAATAAATTATTCCCAAGGATCCACATTCATGTCTAAGTGCCTTGTTATAGATTAGCAGAGTGTGAGCAAGCAAAGTATTTTCTCAGCCAGTTCTTTTACTGGCTGGCTGCATTTGCGGTTACAAAGAAAGGATCAATCATTTTACTATTTATCTCAGAAGGTAATCTTATAAGAAAATCTTTTTAAAAAAAAACACAACTCTAAACTTTGACTATATATATTTTTTTCAGTCATTTCTACTTTAAGTCCTCAGGGTGCATACATACTCATTACTAATTTTTTATTTAATCATCCAGGATGCTGAGGGCAAAGATAGGCACAAGCAATTAATCATCGCCCTTGATCACCACCCATCTTTAGCAAGAAGGCATGTCAGCTAGTCATACCAGGCTGCCATGGCTCTGTTTCCCTGGCCTTAACGAGCCCCTTGCTCAGCTGTCAAGAGTGCCCTCCTAGACGTTAAACTGTTCCCCGAGATTTTCTACAATACCATCAGCAAAAACCCCTTAACCTAACCTTCCTAACAATCTGCATGTCTAAATTCTAAGTGTGGTGGTTGAATCGTAAGCTGTTCCAGTAGCAATGCCTGGAAAAAGCCAATCACTATTACCGTAAGTACCAGTGACACTGCCCAATGAGGGGCTTGAAGCCCCTGAGAGTTTTCATTTGACTCATATTTTGAGGGGCATGGTGACCTTGAGGACAATAAGCAGAGCTATGCGTAGTAACAGCAGGAGTTCCTCAGGGCAGGCACATCCTGGGGGCTCTGCCTCTCCAAGGCTCACGGCGTGTTAGTTATGCTGGCCGTGGAGCCATATTCCATGACTTCCAAAGCTGCTTGCTGTTCCTCTCACATGGCCCCCAACACTCAAAGTGGTGGGCAGAGTTACATCATGTGGGTCTTGGGGGCAAGCTGACCTGTCCCAGTGTCATTCCTTCCATTCCGGACTCTGACAGCAACACAGGAAGCCTGTGTGAATCCCTCTCCAGAGTAAAGGCTCATTGCTGCTGGGCCCCTGGAATCTGATGGCTTGACTGCCATCTGCTTTCCATCATGCTTTGCTTCTTTGAGACAGTATGTAGCCTAGGCTGACTTCAATCTCATGATCCTCCTGCCTCAGCCTCGTGGATCTGGGATTATATTCACCTACCACTACACCGGCATTCTGTTTCATTCATCCAGCAGCCACTCTGTCCACACTGGGTTGAAGGCAGGAGAGATGAGGCCTCCTGGGCTAGCTGCAGAGAGGGGTCAGATTTGAGCAGTAAAGCAGCCACTGACCCAAGGCTGAGAAAAATGGAGACAATAGCATGTCAAGGACCAGCACCACAGGCCACCACTGCTACTCTCTACGCCCCAACACATTGAGCACGTGACCTGAGGCACAGTGCCCATGGAACAGTAGCTCCTCCTTCCCGGGCTGCCACTCCCTGCTAGCAACCCCAGGGTGTTCTCTCTCTAGGTTTGTCTTTGAGTATTTCCTGTAAGCCACTTTGTATTCCAATTCCTTTTCTGCCTGGCCTAATTTACTTAGTGGGCACACACATGTGCAGGGGTGTGTGTGTGTGTGTGTGTGTGTGTGTGTGTGTGTGTGTCAGTAATGTTCCACTGAGCAGATTCACAACTTGTTGCTGGTGATGTTTGGGTTGCTCCCATTCCTTGTGAACATAGCTGTAGAAGTATCATTTCTGCTTTCTTTAAAAAATAATTTGTTTATTTGTATTTTATTTGCATTGGTGTTTTGCCTGCATGCACGTCACTGTGAGGTTGTCAGATCTTGGAGTTGCAGACAGTTGTGAACTTTCATGTGGATGCTAGGACTTGAACCGCGTCTTCTTGAAGAGCCAGTGCTCTTAACCACTGAACCATCAACCATTGAGCCATCTCTCCATTCCCTGCTTTCTGTTACTAAGTGCCGGGCCTATACTTAGGAGTGGAATTGCTGGGTCACATGGTCATTCTGGGTTCAGCTCTTTGAGGATCTGTCCCCCGCTGGCTCTCACGGTGCTAACATCAGTTTGTCCTGCTGACAATGTACACAGTTCCAGTGTCTACACACCCTTGCTAATACTTCATTTCTGGTTTTGGTTTGTCGAGACAGGGTTTCTCGGTGTAACCCTGGCTGTCCTGGAACTCGCTCTGTAGACCAGGCTGGCTTCAAACACACAGAGATCTGCCTGCCTCTGCCTCCCGAGTGCTGGGATTAAAGGCGTGCACCACCACCACCGTTTTATTTTTTGGGACCGTTTCACTATGTAGTGTCTACTGGCCTGGAACTCACTATCTAGACCAGGCTGGGCTCGAACACTGAGCTCCACCTTCCTCCGCCGCCTGAGTGCTGAGTTTGAAGATGTGTGCTACCATCGTGTTGCCTTTGTCTTGATTTCCCTGATGATCTCTGTGCTTCCCACTCATTTGTGGAGATGTCTGTTCTAGCCCACTGCCTATTGTTTGTGTTTCATTGGCATTTTGAAAAACTGTTTTATGTGTTATGGTGTTTTTCCTGCATGTTTGTTTAGCATGTGCATGCAGTGTTCATAAAGGCCAGAAGAGGGCATCAGAGCCCCTGGAACTGGAGTTACAAGGCTGTGAGCCTCCATGTGGGTGCTGGGGACCCAGGTCCTCTGCAAGAGCAGCAAGCATTCTCTAGGTTTTGGTTGGTTGGTTTTGAGGCAGGGTCTTATTGTGTGGCTCATAATAAGGCTGGCCAGGGACTCACAGCTGTCCCCATGTCTCAGCCTCCTGAGCACTGGAATTATGGACATCCACCACCACACCCAGCCTTCTTACTAGTTATTATTTTATCTGTACGGGCATTGCCTGCATATATGTATATGTACCGTGTGTTCGTGCCTGGTGCCTACAGAGCAAAAGAGGGCATCGGTTCCCTTGGTACCAGACTTATGGATAGTTGTGAAGCATTATGTGGGTGCTTGAAACTGAACCCCCATCCTCTGCTGAAACAGCAGGTGCTCTTAATCCTTGAGCCACCTCTCTCCGTCTCTGTTGGTAAGCTGCAAGTGTTCTCCTTATCTTCTGGATATTGGGCTACCACTTTGTGTGACTTGATGGATTTTTATTCTGTGCTTTATAACACAATTAATACAAACCCAGAGACAGATATTGATTGGGGTTCAAGCTGGAGCTCAGATCAGCAAAGCAGCCGGCTACTAGCTCTATCTCAGACTAAAATGGGTGGGTGACCCTGTCTCCACCAAACCTCAGACTGTAATCCTGAGTTCCTGTCTCCACCCACCCAGTGCTGGGATTAAAGGTGTGTGATTCCAAGTGCTGAGGTCACCTTTATGTGAGCTGTTTCTCTTTTAGATTGCATCAATGTTGTGTAGCTCAGGGTGGCCTTGAACTAACCAGAGATCCATCTGCCTTTGTCTCCCGAGTCCTGGGATTAAAGGTGTGTGCCACCACTGTCTGGCCTCGATGGCTGTGGCTGGCTTTGCTTTTCTGACCTTCGGTGGCTTTATTAGATCATAAGCAGTATGTCACCACAGTTCTTTGTCCTTTTACTTTCTTTTTGCTGTCCTCTGATGCATGGAAGTTGTGGGTTGATCCATGGATTGAACTTTTGTGCTGGGGACCAAGCCCCAGGACTTGGACATGCTTGGAAAATAGTCTGCATGTGAGCTGTGCTTCACTTCCATCCTGTATGTGTGTGTGTGTGTGTGTGTGTGTGTGTGTGTGTGTGTGTGTGTGTGTGTGTGTGTGTGTACATGTGGAAATAAATGTACCTGCTGGTGTGGGAACCTGTGTGTGCACACGCGTGTGGAGGTAGAGACTGACACTGACTCTCTTCCCCAGTCATTGGTTCTCAAATATTTTCTGGAGGAATGGAGGGTCTGAGACAGGTTTTCTCTATGTAGCTTTGTCTGTCTGTCTGTCTTGGAATTTGCTCTGTAGACCGACCAGGCTGATTTTGAACTTAAATTGGCCTGCCTCCACCTCCCAACTTCTGGGATTAAAGGTGTGTGTTACCACTGCCCAGCTCAATGGTCTTATTTATTTATTTGAGACGGAGTCTCATTATGTTGCCCTGGTTATCCATAAACTCACTTTGTAGACCATGTTAGCCTTGAACTCATGGAGATCCTCCTGCCTCTGCCCCTGGAGTGTTAAGATTAAAGGTGTGACTGGGTATCTGTCTCTCTCTCTCTCTCTCTCTCTCTCTCTCTCTCTCTCTCTCTCTCTGGAGGCTGAACCTAGAACTCACTGATTGAGCTGGTCTGGGTAGTCCATGAGGGCTAAGCATTGGTCTGTCTCTCTCTCTTCAGCACCAGGGTTATAGACACATGTTGTCTTATCTGGCTTCTATGTGTATGGATGCTGAGGACTAGAACTTGGCTCCTCATGTTTGTACAGCTAAGTTATCTTCTTGGCCCCTAGACTTATTTTTATTTATTTATTGTATGCATATGAGTGCTCTGCCTGCATGTATGTCTGTATACCACGTGAGTGTATGTGTGGGTGTGTGTGTGTGTGTGTGTGTGTGTGTGTGTGTGTGTGTGTGGTGCCCCTGGAGGCCAGAAAAAGGAATATGCAAATACAATATCTTTGGGCGTTGGTGGCACACGCCTTTAATCCCAGCACTCGGGAGGCAGAGGCAGGCAGATCTCTGTGAGTTCGAGGCCAGTCTGGTCCCCAGAGCAAGGGCCAGGACAGGCTCCAAAGCTACACAGAGAAACCCTGCCTCGAAAAAACAACAACAACAAAAAAGTGGCAAATATAATATCTTTGAAAATTTCCCAGCTATGAGAAGACCATGCCCCTCAAAGAAGGGGTCCTGAGCAGGACAAATATTTAAAAATAAATCTAGGGGGCTGGAGACATGGCTCAGTGCTTAAGAGCACTAACGTTGCTCTTACAAAGGACCAGAGTCCAGTTCCCAGAACCTATGTCAGGCGACTCACAACAGCCTATAACTTCCAGGGGATCTGATGCTCTCTTTTGGCCACCCGTGACCCCTGCACTCACACACACACACACACACACACACACACACACACACACACACACACACACACGCGCACACACACACACACACACACACACACACACACACACACACACACACACACACATACATACACACACACACGTATGCATACTTAAAAACAAAAATCCTAAAAGCTGTAAGTAGTGGCACATGCCCATAATCACAGCACCCAAGAAACAGAGGTAGATAGATCCAAGTTCAAGGCCAGCCTGGTCTCCATAGTGAAACAGTCTCAAAACATTACCTGGTTTACCCTAGTTCTGTGGGGGAGGGGATTCACTGAGCCAGAGTCCATTGCACACTAATGGACTTAGAGGCTCAGAGGGTTGGAGCACCAGGGAAGAAATAGTAAGCTTTGAGTCCTCACCCTCCTTATTTCCATGGCCTCCTCCAGGAAGCGATACCTCCAGAGGAAGTCAGCTCTGGGTCAGCTGAACACCATCCTGCTTGTGGCTCGGCCCCTGCTCCAGAGACGGCAGAGGCGACAGGTAATGGGGGGTGGGGTTTGCTTCTGGACTGTGGGAAAACTCAGGGTAGAAGCCAGGTGGCCTTGCCTGGCCAAGAGGGAGGAACCCTGACAGCCTAAACTTGACAAGACTGGAACATCAGAAACCACAGCCTGCTGATCTCCATTCCCTGTTCTGGCTGGGGCAGGCTGAGGCCCTGGTGGCTATTGTCTATTGCCTTACTTCATCTTGCCACCCCTGTACCTCCAGGCCTGGCTCCCCCTTTCCACCTAGGTCCCTCCTGTTCCCTCCAAGTTCCTGTGGGCACCCTTCTATTCTCCCTTGTGCCTGATGACTCCGGCTTGAGAGCCATAAAGCGGCTCAAAGGTCAATGCCCACATTCTGCCCCCTCCCTGGCTCCTCCCTAGCTGGACTTTGTCCCCTGGGACCATTTATTCCCGTCTTCCTTACCTCTTCCCGGGGCCCTAGCAGATGGGCAGTGACGTCCACAGCTTGGAGACGGTGAGAGCTTAGAGAGGGGTAGAGGTGGGTGAAGCCAGGAAATGGAACCCCTGCAGGTCTATGACAGTGACATTCCTTTGCTACCATCAGGGTCTCCTGGGGCCTGGAGGGGACACTGAGCTGCTGAGTCCGGGGGTGGGCTGCTGGTGGTGTGGGGGCATCAACTCTCGCTGGATCTCTCTGCAGTTTGGGCAGTCCCGTGGCCCGCACAGCGGGGAGGCCTGGGGAAAACTATCAAGTATGGTGAGTGGTCTGGAAACAGAGGTCCTGTGTGGAGTGTGAACCCTGAGCTTGGCATAGCATGGGGGGGTATGGTACCCAGGGTGCCATCAGGGGTCCTGCCCCTCATGTGCCACCTGAGCAGACGCCTGGGGTTTTCTTGATTTTTCCTCAGAGGCTCTCAGGGACCTGGTCCTTTGTTTTCAGGCTGTGTACCTGACATTTAAGGGGAGAACGGGGAGGCGGGCACACCCAGTCCTTCTTAACTATCCTTTAGTTCCTGATCCTTTGGTTCTCTCCACCAGGACCTGGGGCGCTTGGAGATCCCAGCCCAGCTGGCTGCTCTGCTGGAGACAGCAGAAGGTATGTCATCTTAATGTCTGGTCATAGTCCCTTGCTCAGGGGCTTCTCTGGTCCAGACCTTCCTTTCTCTCTGAGCCACCCACAGTCACTCTGTCCATGTTGGCAGCTTGACAGGGAAACTGGGAATCTGAGTGTCCTAGACTGCCTCTTGTGTTCTTCCCAGGTCACCAGGCCATCCTGGCTGGGAGCATCACAGAGTCCCTGCCACCTGGGGTTCCTGTCCGGCCCAACCTGACCCTCCCTCCGGACATTGACCAGTTTCCCTTCTCCAGCTTTGTGTCCTCCAGCTTTCGGGTAAGCCCCCTCGGTGCTTCCTGTACTCCGGAAGCTCCAGCTTAACACCTGCCAGGCAGGAGCAGGCCTCCACCTTCTCCCTGCCCTCCGTTGTGCTCATCAGAGCTGCCTGGAAAACAAAACAGTCTTTACACAGTTAGACTGTGTACACAGGAGTTACACAGGAGTCTGCCACAGGCTTATTTCGGCCACACCTTTCCAGTGTCTGTGGCATTGTCTTGCATTAAAATTGTGTCCTAAACAAAGGTTTAAGTATGAGGGAAACTGCTGGGCGGTGGTGGCGCACACCTTTAATCCCAGCACTCAGGAGGCAGAGGCAGGATGATCTCTGTGAGTTCGAGACCAGCTTGGTCTACAAGAGCTACTTCCAGGGCAGCCTCCAAAGCCACAGAGAAAGCCTGTCTCGAAAAAAAACCAAACAAACAAACAAACAAACAAACAAACAAACAAAAAAGATGAGGGAAACTTCCCAGGCCAGAAGGCTAAATCCTGCTTTTGAGCAGGATTCACAACAAGAAGTTCTCTGTATTAATTTATCATTTTGGGGGGCGGGGGACAGGGCCTTATTATGCATCCCTGTTGTCTGGAACTCACTATGTAGTTCAGGCTGGCCTGGTACTGCCTCTGTAGACCAGGCTGGCCTCGAACTCAGAGATCTGCCTCTGCCTTAAGTGTGTTGGGATTAAAGGAGTGTGCCACCATGCCCAGCCCTATTTTAAGAAAGTTAAAGGCAGGGTCTTACTTTGGTAGGTCTGGCTGGCCTGGAACTCCTTACAGAGGTCAGCCTCTCCCAAGTTCTGGGATTACAGGCATGGACACTACACCAGCTTGTTGTCAATTTTTAAATTAAAGAACAATTGAAGGGCTGAGAGACCTCAGTGGGTAAGAGCACTTCATGAGGACCTGAATTAAAATCCACAGCACCCATGTGAAAAGCCAGGCATGACCATGCATACCTGTAACCCAGTTAACATTAAGGGCAGATGCTGGTGGATTCCTGGAACTTGCTGGCCGGCTAGTCAGCCTATGCAAAGTGACAAGCTCTTCAGTTCAGTGACAGACCTCATCTCAAGGCAAATAAGGAAGATGCCTGGCATCCTCTTCCGGCACACGCCTGCGCATGCATGTCCATGTAACACGCACCCATGCATCCATGTGCATGTGTACTAACGTCTGTCCCCTTCCCAGGGTACATGCTCCTGC